ATGCTGTTGTTTCTGCATCAAGGCATGAGCTACTGCTAGCATTATGACAGTTAGCTATTAGTAATGTCTGATAAACAAAGGTATATGTATTATATTATTTTAATATAAAGATTTTCTCAGTTTAGATGCACAATAAAATAACATTTAATAAATAGTTTTCCCCTGGGTTGAAGGAGAAGAGACGTGTCCGATAATGGAAGCAGTGCTGTTAGCGCAGCATGTCGCACCCAGATTAGTCACAACAAAAGAATCCGCTGAGTCCACTCCCTGTTATTTTCCCACACCACGTACCAGGCCCGATTCAGCACCTTATTTATTTATTTATTTATTTATTTATTTATTTATTTATTTATTTATTTATTGTGTTTTGACAAAAACGGCAGTCCATAACAGACAGCTAACTTGTTATTTATATAGTATGCGTCATGTGTGAACCCCTAATTTACCCCAAGTCATTAAAGGCGGTGTCAGGTCACGCCTACTTTGCGAGCTCTGATTGGCCAAAGTTGGTGTTACGTAGGGGTCCCTCAACAAGTGATTGGTCAGTGAAGTTTCCATTTCTTTTTTGCTATTTGAGACGTCTGTTGCTTGCTTGGCTCACTAAGTCGGTCTGAGTTTAGGGAAAGTAGCGGAAGGTTCGGTTCGGTTCGGTTTCTGAGCTTTGTTTGGTAGAAGTTTACAAGAGGAAGTTAAACTTGACCAACATTTTACAGAAAGTGGATTTTTTTATTTTTTTTACCGTCAGGAGAAACTTTCTGAGGCTAAAAAAAAAGGAAACATGACAGACAAGGAGGACCTTGTCTCTTCTACTGCTCTTTTCCCCGAGGGACACCATTACGAACCGGAACCAGATCCGAACCTTGAGCCCAGGCAGGACCACTTCAGTGTGGATGACATTGTGGACTTAGTCGGTGGAGCTCAGGACGCCTTGGAGCGACACATTCAAGAGGCCACCGTGACTTCCACAGAACCAGAAGAGTCTGAAGTCCCAGACTACACGACTCCGGGCTTTGCTTCTGTTCCAGAGGAGGAGTCTGACGTCTTAGCCCCCAAAGCCGAACCGGAGAGTACACGTATCTTTCCGGAATCACAACCAGAACCTGCTCCCGAGAGCGACGCCCTCCCTCCTGCTGCGGCCGAACCCCAGAAAACAGCTCCATCCTCCGCAGAGGCAGATCAGCAGCCACCAGGCGCGGCTCCAGCGTCGTGTGAGTATCCGATGAGGCTGGCTGATTTCATGATACATTAACACGAACCTGTATAAACCCAAACCATGTTCACATCCGAATCATTACCGCTCGATCCGTAATCAACCGGTAGGTGATGCCTCTCTGCCTGGCCCTATCTCTGCACCGACCTACTGTTAGAAAACCGGTTTGTCTTAATCATCTAACGTGAATCCTGCTGCTATTTTATGGACAGATGTGTTGTAGTGGACATGTTACAGGTTGAGCTCTGTCTGTGGTTTTTATTGTTATTATTTTTTTTCTCGATCATCATGCGGCCCACCTATTTCAGTTCGATTAACAGCAGTAATGTGAGCCTCTTACCGGAAATACCGGTGTCAATAAAGCGTTAACTGATTCATTACTATACGGGGAATAGTATGTTTGTGAAAGGATAATCCACAGAAACGTGTTTGGCCTATATTTCATACATTATCCGGCTGCTCCGCACATTCATGCTAATCATAGCTGTTCGGTTTCGTACGGAGTGCTTTACACGCCATTTATTCAGACACAATAAAAACGTTTCCATGTTCCTGAACTGTGCATGTT